TTCCCCGACGTCATCTCCTACAGCCGCCATCTTGGCCGGTACCACGCGGGATTTTGTACAATTTACGCTTATCTCAAGGGTCTAGGACCACTCAGAGCATATTTAAGCTGATAGACAAATAAATAATCATGGATCCGAGAAAACAGCAACTTCCACCAAAGGAAAATGCTCTATTTAAACGAATTCTGGTGAGTTGAAGAGACGCATGGCTTGTTGTTGGGGTTCGTCTGCATAAAAACAAAACGTATAAAATATTTTATTTAATCTACTGCTTTCTCTAAGTAAAATAAACCACCGTTTTAGGCTTGGCTTCGGTATCCTAGATAGTTGAAGATTTCCATCGACGCTGAAGAAGTTGATGTAAGGCGCAAGTGGCCGCAATAAAACCTCAAAAATAAAGAGCTGGGTGGGAAGCTGGAACAATATTTTAACAAACCTATAAAACTCATTTGACAGATTTGGACAAATACTCGGCAGTGTAGGAAGTAAAAATATGTTTATGATAATTCACGGGCAGTAGTGTTGGAGTAAAAGAGCTCCCAGGTCTTCAAAATCCAGGACATGATGGTGTGGAAAGGAATATAATTTTAGATTTTGGTGTTGTATGGGACCTAACATGATGTTTGTTGTGTTAACATAAATTAGGATTTTTTTTAAACCCGGGGTAGGGAGGGTTAGCCATCCAGGATAATCCAAGGTATTCAGGGTGTCATTGAGGTTTGTCTTGTCTTATTTCCATTGTGGCCCTTGAGTCCTGTCCCCCAGGATGCAACCCACACCAGTTGACTAACACCCAGGTACCCACTACTATGTAATTTCCTTCCAACTCCTCTCTCGTCTCTGCTGACGTGCTGCACCACTACTGATGGTACACATTAATGAGCTTTCCAAGGACTCAAATGGAAATAAGTCACTTTGGCTTGTTTGGGTTATCCTAGGTATTTACACTATGTATGATAATTGTACTTACGTGTACCTATGCCTAAATAAATTTACTTGCTTCCAATTTGAATATTTTACTTGGCAGAATCGGCAAGTTCATTATTGGTTTGTCAGTTTTAAAATAACTGGCCTGGGAATTATGATGCATCAGGCAATTTACATTTGTAATTTTATTTATTTTTGCTGTTACACTTTAAAAAGTATTTTTTTCTTTTATGTAACAGACTGTACCTTCAGAACAATACATAATGTAGTAAGATGAGATTTTATTTGAATTTTTAACCCCAGAGGGTTAGCTACCTAGGATAACCCAAGAAAGTGAGTGCGTCATTGAGGACTGTGTCTTATTTCCATTGGGGTCCTTCAGTTTTGTCCTCCAGGATGCAACCCACTCCAGTCAGCTAACACCCAAGTACCTACTTACTTGGTAGGTAAATGAGAACAGCAGGTGTAAGGAAACACGCCCAATGTTTCCACCTAGCTAGGAATTGAACTACGGACACTCACTGTGTGAGGCGAGAGTGTTGCCTACCAGTCACAGTGTTCATCTTTATTGGGCTATCCTAAGTTTTATATAAATAATGCAGTTTTTATATGCTTATAATATATGTGTACTCAATACCATTATAAAAAAAATTACACAGCCTAAATAAAAAATTTTAAATTTTCTGGCTACTTTCTAGAAGCAGCTAATTCTTCCTCCTGGGCTAGAAAATTGAGCTAACTTTTATGACACTGACTCCAACAAGGTGATGGCTATGGATGTATCCAGGCAAGGCTGTTTTCAGGTTAGGCGCTAGTATCATGGGATACTAGCACCAGCAGCTACACAGCTGAGGTTATGAATGGTGACTTAACACCTACAAGTATGTAAAAAAGAAACACATGTAGTATCTAGGACATTTATTAAGGAGACATTTCCCCCCAAAACAAGGGTTTGGCAAGTATTTGAGATTATAAAACTGTATTTTTAGCAGTTTTGGTAACAGCAATGAGAAATTCTAAACAGCAGCTGTGATGTGGGTCTAATCTTTGATGAGAAGCCTGGGATGTTGGAAGTCTGAGATGGTTGTGGGCATTGCAGTGTATGGCACAAGTGTTTATTGTCCCTTACAAATCTATTTCAAATTACTGCACTTTGTCATGACCTTTTTTGGGGTTATCCTAGGTAATTTTATACAATGTATGATTGTATTTATGTGTACCTGTGCCTAAATAAACTTGCAAAACATTCAGTACTCTGAAGGCCCATGGGATGCATAGCTTTTTTGAGCAAACTTTATTTTGGGGGTCACATCAATGAATGGTTAACAGTTTTGAAGTTGGCCTTTGAAATCTTCAACAGTGTGTTCCAGATTTGGGATCTTTTATGTGGATTGAATTTGGATAATAGGTTCTTAATAGTGTTGGAAGTCATTCTGGCTATGTGGGTCTTATTTTTAGCAATAAGGTTGTGGATGGATTGTCTCAGAAATCTGTCAGACTGGAAGAACATAGGATTAGTTTAGTTTGGGCATTAGAATAGGATGGAGAAGGATAGGATGGCAAAAAGGATATATAAATCCAGAGTGGAAGGTAGGGGTAGGGGGCATCCCAGGAGTAGTTGAAGGGAAGGGGTAAAGGAAGCATTGAGTTTTAGGGGTCTGAGCATCCAGCAGGTTTGTGTCTGCATTTTAACAGTGAATTTAAATGTGCCATTGTAGTGTGAGCAAGATGAAGGCTTTAGATCTGATAACAAATAAGATCATAAAAGGATATGAGAGAACAGATAAGATTTTTATGCTTAAGGCCACCTGTGTTAGGCACTTGTATAGGTCCTCATGTAAGAAAGATCGCCAATGTTAGGCACTTGCAGGCTCATTTAAGCCTGCCTGTGTTATTTGCAGGCGCTCTTGTGAACAAAGCCATCTATGTTCGGCACTTGCAGGTTTCCTTATGACCAAGGCTACCCACGTCAGGTACTCATGCTCAAGAAAGTATAAAACACCTTTATTCAAAAGACAACTTAATTCAAAGCATCAGTTTTGATGTTTTATGCATGTGTATGTTATTTGTGGATTTATAAGTCAGGCAAAAGTTTAGAGGTTAGGTGATGGTTTGTTTTGGTTTGAAGCTATCTCCCAGATCAGCTCTTAACAACTTTATTCATATCTTTTCTACCAGATCTATCCTTTAAGAACAATGATGCTGAAAATGAGAATCTTAAAAAAAATTAGAATCAGTTTCGGGCATCTCTGATGTCTCAGAAATGAAACTTTGTAGGTATTTTTTGTTGATTTCTGTTATGCACAAAAAACAAAAAAGGCTGTTTTTTTTTATTTTTTAACACTCAAAACCTTTACCAAATATTGATAAACATTATAATATACAGCAGAACCCCCGTATCCACTGATTCAGTAGCCACGGTTTCGGTTATCCACAGTTTACCATGGCCCAAGAATACCTCTGAATTTTGCATAATAATGGCCCCAAACCACAAAAGTAGAAAAGCTGGCAGTTCTACAAAGCCTAAGAGAAGCTGTGAAGTGCTATCTATCAGTAAAAAAATGATAATTCTCCACTTATTGTGCATAATTTATCGATTAAACTTCATAATAGGTATGTATATAGGTATACATGGGATTTACTACTATCCACTGTTTCGGTATCTACAGCAGGTCCATGGAACATATCCCTTATAGATACAGGGGTCCTACTGTACTGTACACTTAGAATGTTAAAATATATTAAATGCTTGTTTTCTACTACATTGTGGTGCCTTTTTACCTTTTATAAATAGATGTTAAAGATTTTATTTCTTTGCAACGGTTACAATGTGTATTTACAATTTTGATTTATTAAGTGCAAAGAAAGCCACTATCATGCCGGGACATTTCGGGGAGACTAAACCTGATGCTTACTGACTGCTAAATACTAGACTATACAGTGGTACCCCAAGTTACAAATTTAATTCGTTCCAGAAGGCTGTTTGAGTGCTGTTACCGAAAAAATTTGTTCCCATAAGGAATAGTGTAAATTAGATTAGTCCGTTTCAGAACCCAAAAATACACTTACAAAAGCACTTACAAAAATACACTTACATAATTGTTCGAGTTGGGAGCTGTTCGAAACTCAAGGTAGCACTGTACATTGTTTTCCTTATTATAACAGAGGTAGCTACTGGTTTACAGTAATTAAAAATTACAGTATTACAATTTAGCACAGTTTACAGTAATGAGATTGAAACAGTTTTAAGTTTGAAATAATCCTGAATTAATTGAGCAATTGTAAAATATTTTGGATTTTTTGAGCTGCTGGTAGGTGATAAAGTATAGTGGTTATTTGGTTAATTTTGGGAGATGAGGTGATTTATAAGTAGAGTCTTCAATTGATTTGCAGGCAGGGGCCCTTTTGTATGTTCAGGCAATGATTTCCAGATCTTCGGGCCCTTTATGTGCATAGCATTTTTGCATAGGGTGATATGGACATGAAGAATGTGAGTGTTTTGTGCTCTGTGTGTTTTGTTGTTATCAAAGAGGAGGGTTTATAGTATTGGAGTATAATGGCCAATGTATATAGTAGGTGCAAATAGCATTTATTGAACACATTATTTCCTACTTCAATGTAATGTAGTATTTCATATATCTCTTTTTTCTACAGAAATGCTATGAGCAGAAACAGTACAAAAATGGATTGAAATTTGCAAAGCAAATCCTGGCAAATTTCTCGGATCATGGAGGTAAGTTTTTGCTGCTTTTTTTTTTTTTTTTTTTTTTTTTTTAACTCCCTTTTTGTCAAAAAAAAGGGGGAAAGGCTTTATATTTTAATGGGAAGGCAGAAATAAGGAAACATGAAAAATATTTCTTTTTCTATCTGTGTTGGGGAAAATGCATGATTTTGGGTATCCAGAAAATTAAAAACTTTGAATTCTTGGTTAGTGGAGTAGTTGGTACTGGTGCCAAAACCAGAACCTTTGAACTGGGTGTGTTAGATTCTTGTACTACAAAACTGACCCCTGTAATGTGTGCTACTTTATAAAATATTTAACAGAATATCTTCACAAATCCTTTAGAAAATATATCAACAAGACTCGCAAAATCATAATGACACAATTGCAAATGAACCATACCACAGGCGGGGCTAGAACCCTCGATCAAAGTCACCAAACTCCTGAGCTGGCCCAGTAGCTAATGCGTCGGTCTGGAGTTTTATGACTCTGATTGCAGGTTCTGTCCCTGCCCGTGGTATGGTTTATATCAACAGCAACACTTGCATATTCATACCCACTTTATGAATTGTTGCCCTAGTCGTTTCTTTAAAAGTTTCTTTAGTAAACACAGGCAAAGTTATGATTCAGTTGTACATCAACACAATTATGGACTTTTCCAAATCATTATCCCTCAGTAATTACTTGGGTGCTTTTTTTAACCTCTTTGTAATTATAGTGCCTGTTTGTAGCTACAGAAGTAAAGCTTGTCTTGTGATGTCTTGGGGTGTTAATGTTGCAGTTTAAAAACTGTAGTGTAAAGCACCCTTCTGGCAAGACAGTGATGGAGTGAATGATGGTGAAAGTTTTTCTTTTTCGGGCCACCCTGCCTTGGTGGGAATCGGCCAGTGTGTTAATAATAAAAAGTAAAATAAAATTTAAATATTGTAATGGTTGTAGCACTTATCTCCTCTTTCAGTTTATTCCATTCTTCTATCTCACTGTTTGTAAAAAAAAAAAATCGTCGGTATTACAACCCAGGATTCCAAATGGCCTGTTATCCCGGGTGTAATGGGAGCAAAATAAACACAGCAGAAAAAGTTTAGACTTATATTATCCTTCACCAATTTAGAACAGCAATATGTACACTATGTACAGTGATAAGTATAGTGCACTCCACGGTAAGCAAGGCAGAAATAGAAGCCACAAGATAGCAGACCGTGCTTCAACCAGCTCTAGAATGGGAATGACAAGGGCAGACAGGAGAGTGGTACCCACATAACCTCTGCGATTGCCAAAACCACCATCTTATTGGCTAAAACCTGGTCACTAGTTGAACGACGGGGCCCCATCATCAACTCTTAGCAACCTGGTTCGCTGGTTGGGGGAGATAGCCTGTAAATGAGGGTGTGTACATGCGCCGAATAAAGGTTACGTACTCTATGCATGCCACACCCCCACCCCGAGAAGGCTGAGGATTAGGCTGCCACCTCCCAGTGGTAACCGTGCCGCCATGGCACAAAATAATAGGACCGCCTTTCCTCTCCACCATCCAACTCTTAGATAGACCTCAGCTTTTCTCGTGACAAAAAGCCAAACCCTAAACTCAAAGTGAGACAGCAGTCAGTCAGAGCATAGGTCCAAGATACAGGCAGACAGTAGCCCGCATCCCCTCACTAAAAAAAAACCCCACACCAGGGGATAAAAAAAAAGAGCGTGAAAAGGGGTTACCACAAATAATATAACATCCTAACCTAAATAAATAAAAATATTAGACTCTAGATAAAGAGTCCGCCAACACATTTTCTTTGCCGGCAATATATTTAATTCTGAATGAGTATGGTTGCAGTCTTAGCGTCCAGCGCATGAGCCTTGTGTTGTGGTTCTTCATGGCTTGGAGATATACTAGAGGATTGTGATCACTGTAGACTGTGACCACCTGCGATGTCTGGCCCACATAAACATCGAAATGCTCCAAAGCCAGTACCAGCGCGAGGGCTTCTTTTTCAATGGTAGAGTAAGCCCTCTGATGTGGCTGGAACTTGGCTGAAAAGTATGCTACAGGCTACAACTCCTCATTCTCGATTTGTAATAGTACTGCCCCAACCCCAGACTCACAAGCATCAACCTGTAATGAAAAAGGTTTGGAGAAGTCTGGAGACAAAAGAATGGGTGCAGTACACAATAATCTTTTTGCTTTATTAAAAGCAGTGTTACAGTCTGAGGTCCAGTTAAAGGGAACTTTGTGACTGGTAAGAGAGGTAAGAGGGGCTACAATATCTGAGAAATTCTTACAGAATCTTCTGTAAAATCCTATCATGCCTAGGAAACGTTGAAGAGATTTCCTATCATGAGGAACTGGATAATCTTTAATAGCAAGAACTTTAGCAAGTTTAGGTGCAACTTTACCACTACCTACTTCATGGCCTAGAAAGTGACAGTGGCCTGGCCAAAGGAAGATTTAGATAAATTAACTGTTAAATGGGAACTCTGAAAGGTCTCAAAAAGAGCCTTAAGTCTAAGTAGGTGTTGATCCCAAGTATCAGACACCACAACAATATCATCTAGGTATGCTGCCATGCCTTCAAGTCCTTTAATAGCCTGATGGATAAGTTTCTGGAATGAAGAGGGGGAATTCTTCATTCCGAAGGGGGTAACAGTGTATTGATAATGACCTCCTGGAATTACGAAGGCAGAGATTTCCTTCGCCTTATCCGTTAAAGGTACCTGATAGTAACCTTTAAGGAGATCTAACTTGGACACAAAAGTAGCCTTACCCACAAAGTCAATTACGTCATCCAGACGAGGAAGAGGGTAAGCATCTGTGATTGTGACCTACTTTGTTACAGAGGAAGCAGACGACAGGCTTGCCCTTTACTCCCTGCGGACGTTGCAACTGGTGTCGCTCTATCTGGTGTCTCTCTGGATACTGTTGTCGAGATGCACCCTGTTGAGTAATTTGTCTCTCAGCACGTGGACCATAAGTTGAGAAGCGTGGCTCACCAGGTGACTTAGTTGGCTGACGTAGACGTTCTCCCTCCAGCTGGCACTTCATTCTCCAAGGTTGATGATCTCTGCTCATGCCAGGCTGTTGAAAAGAGAGACGGGACCGCTCGGACAAGGAGCGGTTAGTTTCGAAGGTATCAGCCAACCTGGCTGCCTCCAATGCAATGGTTAAGTCACGATCCTGCAGAAAGACTCGAACCTCTGGTCCCACAGACTCCAGCAGGTTATCAATCAGAATAAGCTGTACCAGCTCCTCAAAGGTAGAGACACCACTTGCTTTATACCAGCTGGTAAAAGCTTTGGTTTGCTGTCTCACAAAGTCCACTAGGGATTGACCAAGCTGCCGCCTGCTTAATTTAAAAAGCTTACGGTATTTGGCTGGGATACATGTTTATGCTCCCAACACTGTGGTCTTCACTACTTTATAATCAGAAAATTCAGCGTCATTTAATACTGACGTAAATTCCTGTGCCTTACCCAATAATGCTGTATGAACCAACGATGCCCAATGCTGTTCCAGCCACCTCAAGGCTCGAGCCTGATTTTCGAAGCTTTCGAAAAAATTTTCTGGTTCGGCCTCATTGAAGCGGGGAACAAACTGTACTGCTTTCTGTAAACTAAAATTATTTACAGAATGCGAAAACTGCCTCCTTTCTCTTTCCCTATCAAATTCTTCCCTTGCGAATGCTCTCTGTTCCCTAGTTTGCTCAAGATTGATTTTTGCCAGCTCAAGTGCCAACGACGCTGATTCACCTTGAGACAACCCAGCTGCACTATACTGACCATTTTGCTCCGTAGGTGTATCATCTTCCTCCTGCGAGAACATAGTAGTTTTTGCCCTAGCTCCCGTAGAGGGAGGAGTCTGATGTGCGATCTCTTATTCTATAAGTTTGTCAGGAATCAGTGAACGCAGTTGCGCTGCTGTGAGAGTGCGTTTGTATTTAATGCCAATGGAATGAGCAATTTGCCAACAACGCTGTAGGGACAATTTAAGTAGGTTATGCAAAGTATATGCCGACACCAGACGTCTGACTCGTCTAGGTGGCATAAGTTATTCGCTATGCACAGTACGATTGCAGAATACCCCAACGTAACACGTTAATTTGCAGGACACGCTTAGCTATGCACAGTACGATTGCAGAATACGCATACAAGCAAAGCTGACTGCAAAATTCTCCACACCGAACAGGCTAGTAATAACTGACACGCAAAATTTGTAAAGCAATGCCAGACATCCACACTGTTCTATAAGATTGACCATAGCGAAGCGAGCACACCGAACAAGCTAGTAGCGAGCTGTTGAACGATCACACAATAGCAAGGCTGACCATAACAGTAACTGACACGCAAAATTTGTAAAGCGTAGGCAAAGCTAATGCAATGCCAGACAGCAAGCGGCACAATGTTCCTGCTACGAGCTTCACCCTAAGCTCAACCATTTCTCTAAGTCCAGCTCCAGCTCTCGGACAGGCTACCCATATTACAACCCAGGATTCCAAATGGCCTGTTATCCCGGGTGTAATGGGAGCAAAATAAACACAGCAGAAAAAGTTTAGACTTATATTATCCTTCACCAATTTAGAACAGCAATATGTACACTATGTACAGTGATAAGTATAGTGCACTCCACGGTAAGCAAGGCAGAAATAGAAGCCACAAGATAGCAGACCGTGCTTCAACCAGCTCTAGAATGGGAATGACAAGGGCAGACAGGAGAGTGGTACCCACATAACCTCTGCGATTGCCAAAACCACCATCTTATTGGCTAGAACCTGGTCACTAGTTGAACGACGGGACCCCATCATCAACTCTTAGCAACCTGGTTCACTGGTTGGGGGAGATAGCCTGTAAATGAGGGTGTGTACATGTGCCGAATAAAGGTTACGTACTCTTTGCATGCCACAGTCGGTATCCCTTTGGCTCTTTTATTATTATTATTATTATTATTATTATTATTATTATTTTGTCTGTAGCCACTTGTTATCTTATGATGCATCTCAAAGGACCAAAGATAAATGGCATCAGGA